TTGTACCTAGTTAATGTACTATTCAGATTTTATAGAAAGATTGTTTAAGACTGTTTATACTCTTGGAATTCTTTGTAAAGAGGTTCTGAATGTGTTTTAGAGTTAAGATAGATATTTGGAGAAATTTGGGCCATTGGCAATGAAAATGCCATTGGCAATGTATTTATGCCATTGGCGATGTATTTGACCCATTGGCGATGTATCAAAAGAATCTGATTTATTTCATGGTTTTATGCGGAAAAGATTCTTTAAAAGACTGCTGCATGTATCTATGAGAAGGGAAGATGCTGTTTTATGTTCGATTTTATTTGGGAAAACAGCAGAGAATTATTGAGAGAATTGAAGAATTCGTACATCAGCTATTTGTCGTATTTACAAAGGTTAGTCGCGGATACTAACTTCTTTATTTTGCGATTTATTTTGATGCGCGAATTTTGTATTGAATGTTATTGATTTGTATATCAATTCAGATTGTTTGAGAGTGTATAGACATGTATTGGCGCGCAAGCCCGCGGAAATTCGCGCTGCGCGGAAATTTGCCAGCATTCATGATTTCTTGGAAGAGTGTACAAAATTCGCTGCGGTTGATTCGTCGCGCTTTTTCCGTTGGGTTTCTTTTGGAAACAAGTATCCTGGCTTAGGCTGCCTGGGAAAGCTGCGCGAACCATCCTCGCAGGAGGATTTAGATTGGAATGCAGGAAAAGGCCACCCAAGGTTGGTGCGCTAATCCTTTAGCAGACAGTGCGCTGCTCATTTCTGTTCGAACTCTCGAAGTGTGAGCATCGGTTGCTTGCTTGTTAAATAGTTCAAGAGAGGGTTAAAATAATAGTAAATAAATGAAGACCCACGCAGAAGGATTTGACATAGTGAAATTGAATTGGAAATTGTATTTATTCCGAAATTCGGTTGTCTTTCTGTGTGTTGATTTTTTTTGAAGTTGTATTGATGATGATGTGATTTCTCGTTTCCAGACGGAGACGAGTACATGTTGTGGAGTATTGTTTGTGAAGTTGATCGGAATTGAATATACTGTGTTATAGTCTTAAAAGACTTGCAGTTGTTCTTTAAAAGTTCCTAACTCAAATAAGCAAATTACCCACTAGTGACCGTCCGGCTTTGTTAAAATAAGACTTAACCTGCGGAGTTACGCCCGTGTACGGTTCTTGGCGTCGAAAGCACTTCGGGTAAAGTTAAATCAGTGAATAGCCCAAAACACCCAAAAGAATAGTCTGTGGATCCGTTGATTCAGGGCTTTCTAGTTGACATCTTCCCGGGCCCGACCGGGCGCTCTGTTTCAAGTGCTTCAAGTTTTCACAAATATGCTCAGAAATATGTTATTCCAGCAATAATTCTGTATTTCATGTGAAAGCATGACAAACCTTTTTCTGTCCTGCTCACATCTTGCTGACACATTGTAAAAAAGCTACAGATCACGAAGTGCATTCATGTACAGTAATGTCTTCAAAAAAAGATACGAATGGATACTTCGATTCCCCTCCATGAAATTACGTAAAATTTTCAGGTATTCTCTGCTTTTTTCTCACTCGTCAAGCCCGTTAATGTTCTTAGAATAATTTTTAAAATGAAAACTTATATTCCAACGTAAACAAATCTGCTAACTTTGAGATTGAATAGGCACCTATATATATACTTGCTGATGTGAAGGTTTATTCAAATTAATTTCAAGGTTGGGGAACTTCACTGTCCCCATAGTTCCTGAAATTCATCTGTTGTACTGTTCAAATCGGGAAAATCATACTGCGATGATTCTAATGATTTCATTATAATGAAGTTCATAAATCTCAAAAATTATCTTGAACTTACTGCTCCAGCAATCGTCTCCACTGCGTGACAGACTATAAGCATGGACAGAATCTGCCCCGAGGCTGATGCTAAGAAACACAAGATGAAATAAAGCCGGAATCCCCATTTCAAAGATTCCAGTTTCATGTCTTCCAAGAATAAATACGTGTTCAAGCAAAACTGCACCCCGTTGTGCAGAATGAATCCAACAGCGAAAGATTCAAACGCTTTCAGCAGGTCGAAACATGCTCCATGAAGTCGAGTCCAAGTAACTCTCAAGTTATCCAAGTCTTTTCGAAAGGAATTTGCACAAACTTCTGTTAGCCTTGCGAGTAAATTTTTGTAAGCCGCTCTGCAAAGTCGTGAGAACAACAACAGAGCAGTGATCCACCAACAAAGCGCGAATTTTTGTGCAAATAACGCAAGAACTGTGATGATCAAAATTGGCATTGAATCCAACCAAATGTCCTTTTTCCCAGATATGTTGTATTGAAATTGATATGATGCCTCATTTTGAAAAAACAACAGCATCATCACGATGCATATGATCCAACAGGAACGCGAGATTTTTTGTGATTCAATCTTGGGTGAAGATTGAGGAATTTCGGAGACTATGCTCAAAATCGTTGCTAGAGTTTGACAAATCTTTGGCGTTTTACAAAAAATGAAGATGTAAAGCAACGGTCCAATGGGAACCTCTAGGATTCGATTCACGAGCCAAGTTACGTGAAACGTTTTCCCAAGTTGGTTTGTTTCATCACTGACCATCTTTTCTACATCTAGATTATTCAAGAAAACAGCAGAATGGTTTATTCACTGTCATATCTCAGTTCGCACAAATTCAATTTTTCCAATCTCATTGATTAAAAGTGAACTCACCTCGGAAACCGAATTTCAAAGCTAGCAGAATCTGGATAAAAACTTGTACGCAGGCGGCAAATATGACAAATTTCGAATTTCTCTCGGAGCACGAAACAATTTTTGAATTCGGAAAAAATCCGAATTTAGCCCCTGGGATGATAAATTTAGCTAATTCGTCTCGCAAGGGCTCTTCCGCCGTGTAATTCAAGGTTTTATCAGAGTTTAGTCTTGATTTGCTGATGTCTTTGATCTTCATATTCAGTAAAATTCACAACGCAGAAAATAATTTGATATGATTTTGAGAGTCGGGTTGTTTTCTTAATCTGATCAATCGTCTATTCGTCAGGAATAGTCAAAATCTTCAGCCAAACCGTGCTCGGGCAAGTCCGAATGAATCCTTATAAACGGGCCACGTTTTGCTGATGTCATCGACATTTCTTCGAATGGAATATTATTGTACCACGCCCAAAAGACAACTAAATATTTTTTATATATTTCGAGCAGCAGCCGTATGTTCGATGCTTTTGCAACGGCCACTATCATTATGGCATTTCTCCCCCAGAAAACACACAAGTCGATTCTTTCCTTCACATATCTTTGACGGCAGACCTTACAACAATTGTGAACTGTCAATACAAAATTGTTTGTATTATTTCCACTCGTAACGGATACCGGGATGGTCTTTGAATATGATGAACAGCACTTACATAAACCAATAATGGGCGTGGCTATCAGACATTCGCTCAATTCTTGATCAATATGCACAAGACCATAACCATAAGTCATTCATGAACTGTAGCTTCACCCATCAGCACTATTTTTGTTGAATTAGTTTTGGGGCTGCATATACTGTAGCTTAATAGTGTCTGGTCACTGGTCAGTGGTCACTCACCTTTTGGCCATTCTGGTTTCATTTATGTTCATTGGCACTTGGGCAGTCATGCACCTTCCTCATTTGGTACTTGGAATCAGTATAGAGGAGCGTCCAAACAATTCTTTTGCATTCATTCTTCTTTGTTGCAGATACTTGTGTGAGAAATATATTTACTCACTTATACTAATAGAGAAGTGTTCTCATTTCACATTGCCCTGGCCCTAAGAATTAATCACTTCTTGAGATACATTGTCCTGAGGGATAATTTGAGAAGGAGGTAAATTATCTCTGTAAAGAACATGTTTGATGCGGTTGTTTTTGCTTTGGTCAAAATTCTGACAACTTAGAATAACAACACTGTTTGAGAAGCATTTATGTTGGCATCCGTATAACAACTTAGGTGGCCCCACTTTATCTTCCACAGTGGGGAGCTATTTTTGCTGTGACCCCACAGTAGGTGCACACCAGGGTCACAACTGGTGCATATGGGATATTCTGGGGTTACAAGTGTGCACTCCTGCGGAGAAAATTTTGCTACCATTCCAGGTCTGCACTTGGTGCACAAATGTGACATAACAGGGGTATCACACAAATGCACCAATTGTAACCACGGTGTAAGTTACTTGTTTACAAATGTGACCCAGAGTAATCCTGGTGTGAACACACAATTGGTGCACATTAGGGATATGCATGTACTGTACAACAGAAGAACTTTGGTTCACCTCAGGTGCTCAGCAGGGTCACTGTGTAGAATTACAATCATATCCCCAGTGTGCACCAATTTCCCCACTTGGGTTATTATTCTGAAAAATGTCATTGAAACAGTCTGAATAAATTATTTCCAAAAATGGCAGTGAGTGTGCTGCACTCAAACTCAGTCAATGAGAAACACATTGCTTATTCAGGGTGATGTGCCTTTGGGAAAGAAACCCCAGCAGAAAATAATTCCATCCACATTCACTATATATACAGTACATAGATGATGAGCATAGTTCTGTATTTCATCAATTGCCAACTTCATTGCTTGAAACATAAACCTCAACAAGGTAAACCATGCTCCCTAAAGCTCACATCATCCTTCCAAATATTCCAACAACAAAAACGATGAAGCATACATTAAAAAACAATTTTTTTCCCGAATAATAGCTTGAGGAAGTGTGAGTTTAATTTTCAGCACAACATATAAGACCAACCCGAACCGCGGAGAATTGAGAATTTCAGATGCAAATAAGTGAAACTTTTCAAAAGTTTGAGCTCTTTATGCAAAAGTAACTTCTCATGGACTATGTCCCCGATTTTGGATGCTGTGATGTAGTAAATGTTTTATGTACTGTACTACGTATATACTTCTACGTTGATGCGTGCTCTTCCTTGCTGAATTGGAGCAAAATCAAGAAGTAGGTTAGGAAAGAATTCGCCATCTGGAAAAAGAGTATTGTTTAAACATAATTTGATTTTTTTTTTCAAAACTCGGCAATATGGAAAAGGAAGTTCTCTCACAGTCACTATCATGCCTTTCTTGATTTCGAAAAGTCCCCAGCCCTTGAAGTCCTTGGAAAAAGTCGCCACTTCATAAAATAGCTGCTGAAACTGAAGAAACACGTCGTTCAAACAACGGATAATGTATTGCCGGAAATACTGGATTATGACACTTTCGTTTTCTGAATCTTTGAAAAAGCAAAAACAAGGAATCCAGCGCCAAATGTCTTTCAAATAGAATAACTGTACTAGAAATATCGTATTTCTTGGCGAATTAGAATCTGGAAAACTCATGAATTCAAGATGTAAGCTGAAGTTTCCTCACTTGGTTCCTCTCACTCATGTCCATTTCATGTGTAGGAATTTCTCTCAGTTCTTGAATGACCTCTTGCTCCTTCAGAAAAAAGTACGAAAATAAACGGACATGCACCTTACAGCGGCGAAGAGTTTCTTAAATCCCAAGTGTATTTTCATTTTTCGTAGCGTATTTATTTACGCAGGTAAAATGCACAACTTTTCCCCCACACAAATCTGTGCAGAAAATTGCGAAGGGCATCATGCTCATTCATAAAATGCTCCATACAATATTTGAAAAGTTCAGTGCGCATCATCATTCAACCACATTAGTTTAAGTCGTAAAGTTTTTGTAACTAACAAATTAAATCTTCAAGTTCAGGCCCGAATAACATCTGCATTCAATCAAATTAAATCTAAGATTCAACTCAATGTATGACAGCTGCTTTAATGTGTCAGTGGTCAATGCAACGCAAAGAATTCACGCATAAACACAAGACCTAAATTTAACTGTCAATATTGCGCCATGAAAAAAAATTACTCGAAAACTGGAGGCCGTGCCTTGTGTGAGGAAATCTTCTTTTTTCTCGAATAAAAAAATTGAAAATATTGTCAAGCTTATGAGTCTTATTCAGAAAGCATCGGATTCTCATGAGGAATTGCTTTGCGAACATTTTGAAGTATACTCGTCTCTCTTTACGCATAACGGCATAACACACCGATTTGGTTTTCCTTTGGTTTCATTTTTTCAAATAAAATATTTAAACTGACGGGAATGTAACTGCTGAGATTGAAATTGAATAGCTAGGTTCCTGTTTATCTTCATCTATTGACTTCTATACAAAAGGCGCGAGTATTCAAATAATTGGTTGATAATCACCAGGAGGATGGTGCTCAGTCTATTCTGAAATTTTTAAATTCAGGAATAAGGTTCTTCTTGATAATTTTCAACTTACTGCGCCAGAAATCGTCTCCACGGCGTGACAAACCACGAGCATGGACAGAATTTGTCCAAGGGCTAATGCTCCATAATTCGAGATGTACCAAAGCCGTACTCCCCATAAAAGGAAGCTCAGTTTCATGTCCTCCAAAAATAAATACGTGTTCAAGCAAAACTGCACCCCATTGTGCAGAATGAATCCAACAGCGAAAGATTCAAACGCTTTCAGCAGGTCGAAACATGCTCCATGAAGTCGAGTCCAAGTAACTCTCAAATCATCCAAGTCTTTTCCAGAGGAATTTGCACAAACTTCTGTTAGTCTTGCGAGCAAATGTTTGTAAGCCGCTCTGCAAAGTCGTGAGAACAACAACAGAGCAGAGATCCACCAACAAAACGCGAACTTTTGCGCAAATAACGCAAGAACTGTGATGATCAAAATTGGCATCGAATCCAACCAAATGTCCTTTTTCCCAGATATGTTGTATTGAAATTGAAGAGATGCCTCACTTTGAAAAAACAAAAGCATCATCACAATGCATATGATCCAACAGGAACGCGAGATTTTTTGTGATTCAATCTTGGGTGAAGATAGAGGAATTTCGGATACTATGCTCAAAATCGTTGCTAGAGTTTGACAAATCTTTGGCGTTTTACAAAAAATGAAGATGTAAAGTAACGGTCCAATGGGAATCTCCAGAATTCGGTTCACGAGCCACGAAATGTGAAATGTTGTCCCTAATTTATTTGTACCATCATTGGCCATCTTGTCCACNTTTTTAAGGTCACACTCATTAAAAAAAAGAGTTAAGCAGAGAACGTGCGTAAAATTTTAAATTAAATTATACATTATTCGTGAATCGAGAGTCTAGAAATGCTAATGCAATTGATGACTATGGTATATTTATCAGCAGGTTAGCACTGCAAAATGAAAAAAGAAAAAAATCTGACGAAATTCATGGAATAAAAACGGCTTTCCAAATTCTATTAGAGAAGTGCTTTTGAATGCCTCCAAGCATGTTTTTAAAAAAACGTAAAAGAAAATCTCGCTTTCCCCACGGCAAGGTTGAAATACATTCAGTAATAAAATACGGACTGCTGTTCTCATTCAGAATTTCGTGACAAATTTAATCAGCCTTGGTAAGAAGCCACGAAGTAATTCCCAGCAATCAGATCTCCCAGACCATATTCATTTATGAATTTCCGGGTATCAAACGACGCCCGTTTCTCAAACGTTTCCCTAACATCAATGCGACCCCTTTGCTGCTCAAAAACCAACAGGAAATACCGATGATTCCCAGTGCCTTTCGGTGGGGCCGAACCCTTGTAAGACGCAACAAGGTCACCTCGATTGACCTCGGATCCCGGCACGTTCGTGACGAGCCAATGCAGCCAACTTCTGTACGAGGGTTCGACGCGACTCGGGGCATCCGGGTCAACCATAATGATTGCGTACAGTTGCCCAGGTTTGGCTGTCCAGGTCACTGTTGAAGGAGCACGCGAGACCTGGCTTGGTCGCAATTCGTTCCCGAACTTGACCTCTGCTGATTTACCAGAGTCTAAATAACGGACTGCCAGGGTTTCTTTGGGGAAATGGTCGCAGACGTCGGGAATGAGGCCGGAATCTTTGAGCTTGTGCATTTCGGACGAACAATTATCCCGGACGAGAGGAAAAAAACCTCAACGGATTTTGAATTAGAAAGAAATTAAAATTGTTCGACGGTTATGAGATCTACGAAGGTTTCTTCAGCTTTCCATCGAAAATGTGTCCTGATGCACATTCTTTCGCTTCAAAATCAGATTTAATCTGTATTTGTTGAAGCTTTGTACCGTGGTTTAGCCTACATCAGACGAATTGAACTGCAGCAGGATGATGAAGTAAGTAATGAATGCGTTCGCCATCTGTAGGAAAGAAAGAATAATTACGAAATTTTCAAGTCCTGTTATATTTTCAGCAACGAGTGAACTAAGCAGCATCAAAGTCATTGAATTTCATTTCACGCAGAACTTTAGAGAAAAATTAGGGAATCCATGTTGATGAAAAGTATACGAGACAAGAAGTATTTAAAGGCGTGAATGAAGTTACTGATTGGTTTCCACTTTAATTCTTTCTTCTAACATTTTTTAAGAAAAAGGAACTCAGAAAGAACTTTTGAAAAGGATCGCACCTTGGAAATAGCAACAATCTTGAATTAAATTACGTTAATATCTTTATTCTATACACAGCATAGAGTATTACGACGTTCATTGCGGAGAATGGTACACGTACTCTACTGTATAATGAATAATTATATATTTAAAAAGTAATTTTCTATCTGGAGTACTCACAGCAACCATGATTCCTTTGTTGACGGTGAAAAATCCACAAGCTTTCAGTTCATGAGGCTGCGTTGAATCCATCAACAGCAATTGCACCTGGTGATCATTTTATGAGTTTACATTGTGATTTTAACATTGCGTCTTTTTGCTAACATTTGCAGTATTTGAAGGAAAGCAAAACATTGATTTTTTTTTTTAATATTACGTGGGATCGGTAATTGATGCAAGGTCACCTGTATCATATCATCTTTGTCCAAGTGATCCACAGGAATGAGTTGGAGTTCTTGAGCGACGTCGCTTTCCTGCATTTTAAGATGGATCAACGTTCATTTGATTGAAAAATAATTTTCTGAAGTTTTTTCGTTGAAGCGTCGCATTCGGGAAAGCGTCACAAAAAAACAATCGCTGTGTAGAGAAAATCGCTGTATAGTAGACGAGATTGTTGTCGAGGGAGTCCACTTGTATATACGGTAAGAACGTACAGTATATAATCGGTTGTAGTTGGTGTAGTCTTTTTTTCTTATTTGAAGAATATTTCGGTTAAATATACTGCTGTAATACGGAATTGAACAATATTTCCCAGATATGCGACACTTCATATACACATAAAATAAGCATTTATAAAGGTACATCCAAGCATCTATATACTCATATACAGTAATTAAAATCAGTCTAATCTTTATTTTCATAAAATTGCGATGAACTCACGATGCTGCCGATTTTCTCCACGCCATGACACACCAAGACACAACCCAGGACCTGAGACACATGTTTGCCCAGGTATGATGGAGCCAGGATGCTCATCAAGTCATTCACGTGACCCGACGTGAAATCCACCACTTCCATGTAAGCCACTACGCAAAACTGGAACCCATTGTAAACCAACAAGAGCCCCATGATCGGGGAAACCGAGTCCAGGAAATCTCTCACACCTGCCCTCAAATGGGCCCAACTTTGTCGCACTTGCTCCACATCCTGGAATACCTTTTGTCTGGTCGAGTCCCTTGGGTTCGAACCCTTGTGCGACATCAGCATCAAGAATCCCTTGGTAGCCTCACTGAGTTGATGGTAAACGTGTTTGACCAGAGTCAGCGTGATTATGGGCAATAATTGCCACCAAATGACGGCCAACTTATTCCAAACGCACATTATGACGCCGAAAATTGCAAATAACTTTTTCAACGTCTTGGGCCCGGCGAATTCGACGTAGAAAGCAGCTATCGGATAAACTTCCATGAAAGATGCGCATTGAGTCAGAAAGAGCCAAAATAAAACGTAGAGGGTCGTTCTTAAATTGAGGGGTTTCTGCTTTGTAGGGCACAGCTCAAAGACTGTTTCTGCAGACTTCAGGATTTTTGCAAAGGAAATCATGACTCGTTTTGTTCCATAAATGCCCCAGATGAACATACACGGGCCGATGGATGCTTCCAGTAATCGGTTGGCATACAAAGAAATAATTGAAGTCGTGCCGTAAAAACTTGAGTATTTCTTCATGGACGCGTCAAAATCTGAAAATTTTAAATTCGATTCAATTACACTTGAAAAAAACGGCGTTCGTTTCTTGCAGCATTAAACAAACACTTTGACAAAATTGCCAAAAAAGATTTCCTGGTTCATTTCAAAACAAAAAAAGTTTCTATAAAGACATGGAAGAGGTTAAAATGAAATTTTCAATATGCAGACAGTAAATTACAGTTCTTTTATTTGCTTTGTTGGTATCGTACATATTGTGCTCAACACATTCACTTGTCATAGTTTTTTTTGGAAAATTCTTTACATTTCCCTATACGCATGCATGTATGTAGCATAATAAAAAAGGGTGCCATTTGAGAAATAAATTAGCTTAATTCAAGCTGAATTCCGCAAAAGTGCAATAAATTTGTATAACTTTTCAAGTTCTCACAAAATTTGCGTTCCAAAGAGACAAACCGATTTAGATCTCAAAGATATTATACTTTCTAAAAGAGCGCATAGTCTGAACATATTTTGAGAAATTTTACATTAAATTGACAATATTCCAAATTTAAAATGATGTTTTAAAAATATATGTGCGTCCATATTATTATATGTAATATTTAATTTTCGTGACTTGTAAGAAAATATTGAGAAATTGAACATAATTAGACACATGAACCCACAGCCTGTTTTAAAATTCAAAACGAACCGAATAAATGTGTAAAACTGATGCACAAATAAGCGATTTTGCCAAATTTCAAGGGCTGGCTATTTACGATTGGGCTAAACAACCTTATTATATAAAAAAGACAAATGATATACATTGGATTATAGCAAAGTCGTCTAAATACCGATACAGTATTATATTTTAATGACATGTACTTCGGGAGTTTTAAAATACGCTGACCATTTTTCGGTCATCACTGCTGAATATGAATTTGTATAGCTCACCATATATCAATTGAGCACTTAGAATGAGTTGACAAAATAGTAAGAAAACTGCGATGATCATTGAGACAGATTTTCGCGAGCAATCAGGATTTTTCTTCCCGACTTCAGTAAATAATTTTGCGGGAAAAATTCCGAGAACAGCTGGCAAAATCAGCATTCTCCTCACTGTTGTCCAAAGTGGAATGAAATAATCCGAAGCAGGCAAAATGCTTCTTTTTCTAATAATCAACTCATCCGATGCTTTGACGAAGTGATGCTGCTTTTTTGTTTCAGCTGACTTGATCTCACTCAAGTACATTTCGAAGACTGATTTTCACAAAACTTGCTCTCGAAATTCGTCGAATGCACTGAACTAAAAACAGGAATAAATCATTTT